ATGTTACCCATACTCCGTGGAAATGGAATCGGATTTCATTAATTAATTGATTTTAGTTTTGACGGTTATAAACTTATAATATAAGAAGGATATTATAAATTTTGGTTTTGGAGTAGGATAATAAATTAATTTCTTTGATAATTATTTCTTATAATAAGTATCGTTTTTAGAAATTAAACATTTAAGAACTTGATATTTTTAAAGATTTAGCGAGACTTTACATCATTGTATCAATATGTTATTATAACAATCAAATCATATTTAAATGTGTTATGGTTATTATTTACATAAGATTAATTAAAATAATCTACTTTGAATTAAATTTATGTTTATCAATATAATTACCACGTAAACCTAAAATCTCTTATTTCTATTTTTATGAAAAAAATATAAATTAGAAAACTGTATAAAAGATATTGAATTCAAAAGATATTAGCTTTCCTAAAAAGGTGATATCCAAACGGACATCACTTTTCATGAAATTGCATGCACTCTTTACAAATATAAATAAATAACCATACTAATATAATATATCGAGCATCGCGTTATATTGTGTATTTTGAAAAATCAGTTTGTGAAATTGTCTAATTGGCTAGTCTGAGCTTTTTTTGTGAATCCCTATGTAATCATTCATATTTCAATCCAAAAATTGAACGGTTCTTCGTTGAGATAAGAACTAGTAGATTATTCGTGCATTCAACGGGTGATAATATATTTTGCATGAATTTATTTAAACAGTAAAAAGTAATTTATAAATTAATAACTTATTAATGATTATCTTATGAAATATGATGTTCATGTATTTGAATTATGAATTAGAGTTATGGTCGAACAACATGGTCGAGAACCTCATCAATAACTTTTAATTTACAAATTTTCTAATCTAATACACTCTAAGTTAGTAAGTACACATTCGTTTATTTTATTAATCATTCTTGCATTTTTTATATCTTATTTTCCCAATTGTGTTAACCTAATAACAAAAATTAATTAATTTTGTGATATAAAAAACATTCAGATCATACATCTCGTATTGAGAGCTACAACCCAAACTTTATCAATAATACATCACTCATTAATCACTTGAATCTCACGTGGATGTTAAACTAAACATCAATATAAATAAATAAAAAATCAAAATAATATCAACCTATCAATTTTACCATCTTTCCATGTATTGTTTGATTTATTATTAATTGATCATTTGCGATTAATAGACAACACAAATCTCATTTTTAAGAATATGTATATGTGATTAGGTAGGGAATTATATAAATAAGAGAAGAGAAAATCATAAAAAATAGAGTGATAGTATTTACATTTAATAACAATTTGAGATTATGTTTATAAGTAATATATGAAGTTATAAGGATATTTTAGCATATCTCTTGAATGATTATATTTTATTTTAGATTGATACTCATTGTGTATAAATATTTGAATATATTTTTGTCATTCACATACAATATAAGTAAATGTTATTTTATTTGATTATATTTTATCAAATAATTATTGTTTGAAAATTAATGAAAATTTGAAGTTCTTTTTCTATTATTTGGAAGATACATTTTATGTACACCCTTTAGAGTTGTGATATTTCTATTATTTTTATAGCAACATATAACTGTGATATTTACTATATATTGTATAAAAAATAATTGTACATATTTTCCTATAGGATAGAGATAGAAAAATAACTTGTTATACTTTGTATTTCTCTATTTGAAGATGAAGAATATTAAACTTTATAAAATATTGAGAAATACATTATTATCTATATCTATATTTTTATACTACTAATAAAGCCAAAACTTAATATAACCACCTTATCATGATGTAATTTCTGGTTTCCAATTTTACCATCGCCATCTTCTAATTTTTACCAAAAATATCATATAATTCATTTCCTCGTCATGACATTATTATATATCTATATTATTAATCTATATTTCTATATTTTATTAATAAAGTCAAAACTCAAAATAACTACCTACCATGGTGTAATTAATAATTTCTTATTTTGCCATAAATATATTCTAATTATAATATATTCAACTACAACTATAATATATCTAATGCAATTCATTTACTGCATGTAGAGTCCACATTATAAAAATAGGAAAGCGGATTGACTGACACGGTAGTGTCGGTCTACACACTAGTCCTAATAATATAAAAACCATCATTAAATTTATAACACGTTATTATATGATTCTAAAATAAGATAATATTTTGAAATACATATTATTATTTGACTTTAAAATAATTACAAACGAATAAAATTTTGAATTCATTACAACTAAATTATTAATATTCTTTTTATGATATATTTTCTTATTGTTAGTATTTTAATAGTACAATAGTAACATTGCAATATTAGAATGAGTTTAAACTCTAAAAAATATATATCCACAATTAGCATGACCTAAATTTGAGGAATCAAAAATAATTCAAACCAAATATAAATCAAATATTTGTTATAATGCATACAACTTTATATATCTTATGATTGATTTTAATAGAATAAATGTAGAAGAATCAATTTCATTACCACAATTAATCCAAATCAAATATATGATTTTTTAAGCCAAAAATATTGTTTTTCATCTTTAGTGGTTAAACATACACTGTGATTTTTAGAGGCTTTATTAAAAAAAAATGAAGTTTCATTTTTATATTATTTGGAAGAATATTATCCTCAACGGACACAATATTATTATCTTTATCACACTTCCATTATTCTGAATTAAACAACAAATTGTTATAAAAATATATCTATAATGAGCATCGCCTAAAATTAAGGAATGATAAATAACATTGATTGAAATTGTATTAAAAATATAAATTCATTTCATATTATAGCATTAGAGTAATTATACATAATCACTAGGAAAATCAGAAAACCTGATAAAAGATATTTAAGTTTATTAATCCTATTCTATTTTCATTTTATATCTACTCTCAATTATTTCTATACAATGGATTTCAAGAACTGAAAACAAGTACTATTCATTTCATATTTCTCATCTCAAACTTAATCAATGGTTTCTTTATCCCTCTTGTGTTTATTTCTCGTCATTCTTTTCCATCTTCACACCATCACAAGAGGAGATATTTTTGAAATCATGTCATGTGGTGAAATTGATATTCAATTTCCTTTCTGTTTAAAAGGGGCCAATTACAAAGGTGGTGGTTGTAACTATCCACACCCCAATTTCCAACTTTCATGCGACAACCATAGTCGTACTATTCTAACACTCCCACATTCTGGGGATTTGTTAGTTAAAAGGATCAATTACGAGGAACAAATTATTCAAGTCAACGACCCAAATGTGTGTCTTCCTAAAAGTTTCTTACAAAACTTGACACTTTCCATCTCCCATCCTTTCATTTTTTATGTCACTTTTTATGATTTATACAACCTTGTTTTTGTCAAGTGCCCTTCAAATCTAACTGACTCAATTTCATTACCTTCAATCTCTTGTCTCCAAGAAACAAACTCTTCTTCTTCAACATCATCATATTTTTCATTTTTTGGATATTATGTGAATGTGTCAGAATCGCCATCACTATTCTATGGGTGTGAGGTGGTTTCTTCTAGTGTTGTTGTCCCCTTTCCAAATATGAATAGTGATATTGAGTTGATATGGGAAAGACCCATTTCTGGGGATTGTGATGATCGTTCTCAATTTTGTGGCTTCGTTGTTGGTTCAAGTTTACAAGTTGGATGCATCTCTGACCCTAACCATACAACAGGTATGTTCCACCCTTCTTTTATTCTTTTTGGGCATTCTTAACAAAATGATATCTACTTTTTTTCTAGACTGAATATCACTGAATAACACTCTGCTTGTTAAAAAAATTCATGTTTACCAATTTGACCCTGAAAGTTAAAAACTCAAAGTATTATTCAAAGATTATAAGTAATGAGTCAATATAGTCTCTCTCATATATCATAAGAATGGTAAAAACTAATAAATTTGACCCATGCAATATACAACATGCAGGTGTTTCAAGAAGTCTCAAATATGGTTTAAGTATTGGAGTGGGAATACTTGCACTCCTATGTCTGATCGAGCTTTCTTGCTTTATTTGCATGAAGTTCAACACAGAGCTTCCTAGTAGTATCTCTATTTTCACTCTTCAACTGCAACCTCGCAATTTAAGTCAGCTCTTACTGAAGCCCAATGATAATATGTGTCCAATATGCCTATCTGAATATGAGCCCAAGGAGATATTAAGGATCATACCTGAGTGCAACCATTATTTCCATGCACTCTGTATAGATGAGTGGCTTAAGATGAATGTTACATGCCCTTTATGTAGGAATGCACCATATGCAACATACTCTGATGTTGCCTCTTCTTATTCTTCACGTACCATAGATAATCCAATTCCCAATCACACACTTGATATAGCGTAGAGAACTATTTTCACTATTTTAGTGTTTGTATTATACAATTTTCTTGCTTCGGATTTTATTTTATAGTTCCAATAAAATGGTTTTATTTAATCTTTCCAATAAAATTGATAATCAAAGTCCTAATCACTCACTTGTAACTAATGTTATTAATATTATGGTGTATCAAGCATTTAGATAGAAAAAATAGGGAATTGGACCCCTAACGTGGGACACAGATCCTCTATCCCAAAAATCATGTCTCTTCCTGTCCCTGCCCAATAAGCTTCCACCAATTAATATAATTTTGTTTTTATAATTTTCATTTTTAAATAAATGAAACAATCTGATTGGTGTGGTACATAGATAGGGACGTGAAGCGGGACATGAGATTTTCATCCCCTAACGTGTATAATATAGCTATTAAGCTCTAATGATATTGGTGAGAGCAACAAACTACTTAGTTTATATGTCTCATATAGAACCAAGAAATGTGAAGCATTAAAACTACTTAGCCCTCGTGCATTTAGACTGTGTATGATAAACTAGAATTGTGATAATTATATAACGAGGAAGGAATCTCATTTATCATAGAGAGACAGCGTGGTGGGGGTGTAGCTCATATGGTAGAGCGCTCGCTTCGCATGCGAGAGGCACGGGGTTCGATTCCCCGCACCTCCATTTTTAGTATTTACCAAATTCAATTTCATCTGAAAAAGGCATTGCTCTCCTACAACAACAACAACTTGATAATGAAGGTAGAAGAAGCAAATTTGTGCTCAACCATTGTTTTAGGGATTTTGTATGTTATGAGTATACAGGTTGACGAAGAAGGGATGTCAGTCAACACACACTGATATTAATAATTTAAAATGTATATTAATAAATAATAATAAAATAATTTATCTACTAATAAAGAATGTTTTTTTTAAAAAATATTTTTTAATAATGAATATTCAATTAATTAATATAAATTTTCTCAACTTTTAATAAATAACATTAAGAAATAAATGGGCGAAAATAAATCATTTATTTTTATCAAAGTCATACTTTCACATCAGTCTTTTAAAAATTTGTCTTTCTTAAGGAAGAATGGAAGACTTCTATTTTCATTACTTGTTTTGATTAAAGTATTCTTTAGTAATTTAAGGATTGTGATGTATCACATGAGTGTATCCAATTAAGAAATAATATATGGTCTGAATATGAACAAACGATGTATTAATAATATCTTGCTCAATTGTAATCAACTAGAACTTTGAAAATCTTCCAAGATTGGAACATAAATAGATTTTCTCATCGAAACATATTAACCATTCCGTTTTATGGATAGTCATTACTTACATCAACAAGCATTATTGGAAAAATGAAGAAAAATGTGAGATAACATATATGTATTGTATGATTAAATATACCATTATTAGACTAGTAGTAGCAGAAGTAGAAAGGTCATTAAGGAAATAAATATTTCAAAGCCTATTTTGTTTATCAGAGTCAATCTATAGACTTAACAAGAATAAAGTTCCTTATATCAGGACCACGCTGTGAAGATTTATTTAGGGGACAAACCTCTCAAATGCCTTTTTTTCATTCACAATATTATGTATTACTCTGATGCTGCCAAACTAATACTAAGTATTTGGAAGAACAAAAAAGGATATTTCAGTTTTATTTATAGAAAAACTTGCATTGGTTGATAACACGTTACAATACTTTCCAATTATCAAATGAAAAGTCTACCTTGAAAAAAATCACGTTCCTATCCCATTTATAATAAAAAATAAAAGTAAAAATACTAACATTTTGTACGACCAATTCCAGGAATTAATTATTTTGATTTAATAAAAATATAAAATAATGACAAGTATTAATAAATAATATTAGCTTAGAAAAATTTAAAGATTTGTTTATATTTGGAAAAACATATTGATATATTTTTATTTTTATTTATTATAATGGAGAAGAGAGAAGTAGTTTGATTATGTATGGTCAACAATAATTAGACCCCTTTTAAATTCCACTTGTATTTTCATTTCCTTTCGCTTGCTCAGGAATCTAATCTCTTTTTCAAGGTTCACATTCTTCTCTCACTTATATCCTGCATTTCCATTTTTCTTACCTTTTTTGTGTGCAAAATTTGGTTAATCAATGTTGAATTTGGATATAGTTATTGGAACTGTGGATGCTGAAAGTTTTCATTTTTGTAATGGATTTTTTCTACTTATATTACCATGCCAATATTGGATTCTTCATCTTAATTGTCATGTTATGTTATTGTAGTTGTTGTTTTGTAACACACTAACACTTTTTACAGCCAAACATTCTATATTTTCCTTTTTTGCTTGGGGAGTTAGACAACATTGGTTTATGAATATTCTTGCTTGAAGCTATATGACAGCACCTAAGCTTTCTGATTCAGCATTTTGATTTATGTTATGATTTATCATTCATGTTTTTTGGTTGAGATTAAAACTAATGATGAAGGGTGGCTACTCCTATATTATTTTGGCTGTCAAGATTTTAACTTGTATATTGAGAATGATACTATTAACACTTTAGAGTGCTCATGATATGTTTTCAAATATGGCTATAAAATTACAAGTAATCTTTGCTTAATAGATACAAAATATCAAAACTTTCAAAGCCTATCTAGTTTGCACCAAATACAACAGACACTGATGCAAACGAAACCATAGCCTCTCCTCTCAAATCATTCAAAATCGTTTTCGAAAGAGACAAATTCAATGAATTTCGAATAGTCCTCAAGATTCTCTGTTTTCGATTATCTAATAAATTACTTAATGAGAGTAGATTATCTTTCCATTCATTTCCATGACCTTCATGGCTTCATCATTCATGATGACAATATCTGAGTACTGATCCATTTTGTTTCTCTTTTCTGGTCCATGATAATATTTATGTAGAAACTAAGAAGGAAGGAGGAAGCAGGGAAAGTAAATAATAGGGTGTGATGCCTTCTGAAAGGGAAATTTTTGACCTCTCAGGACCCTCACATCTTACTTATGTGGACTGGTAAGATCTATGAAACAAATCTTCAATTTCTTTGCTAATTTATATACTAACAGCAATTCATTTTGAACTTGGATTTGGTTAATGGAGTGAAATTAAGTAGGATTATACTGTGTTATGGTCAATTTAGATGTACATATAAATAACATTAGTCTTTAGCTAATACAAAATTTATTCCATCTTATTATTCAGGAATAATATGTATCATGGAAAGTCCGTTGCTGCTAGTTTGGTCCAAGGTGTTTATATTCTAGAAAAGGACCGACAAGGACAACGCTATGGTGTCAATGCTCTTGCGCCACCTTGGTGGTCGTTCTTCAACTTTCAGTTGCTCCATACACTTGTTGATGATGTTGATTCTTCCATCTTTGGTGCAATCTATGAGTTCAAACCTCCACCTCCACCTCCACCATATAATTGCAGCTACAATTTACATCGAAGTCCACGTTTCGTGATTGCCTTCCGAGGGACTATAACCAATGGAGACTCAGTTTCACGTGATTTTAAGTTAGATATGCAATGTGTTATAAACGGGCTTCATCAAACTTCTCGTGCTCAGATAGCTATACAAGCTGTTAGGAATATGGTAACTAGTGTTGGTGGTTCAAATATTTGGTTGGCTGGTCACTCTTTAGGATCATCAATGGCTATGCTTGCTGGGAAAACAATGGCCAAGTGTGGCATTTATATTGAATCTTTTCTTTTCAACCCTCCATATATATCTGCTCCAGTTGAGAAAATTAAGGCTCAGAAAGTGAAACATGGTCTTAGAGTTGCTGGCAGTATGATAACAGCTGGACTCACCATTGCTGTGAAGGGTAAGCAGCAACAAATGAGTTTTCCCACCTTTGATCCCTTTTCTGCTTTGTCTGCATGGATACCATGCTTGTTTGTGAATCCATCTGACCCTATCTGCTCTGAGTATAAAGGATACTTTGAACACAGGCAAAAAATGGAGGAGATTGGTGCAGGAAGCATTGAAAGGTTAGCAACTCAAAACTCCATTGTTTGTCTAGTCATGGGTGCCTTTGGGAAGGACTCTGAACCTTTGCACCTCATTCCTTCAGCTTCTTTGACAGTTAATTTGTCTCCATCGAAGGAATTTAAACAAGCTCATGGGATTCACCAATGGTGGAAACCCCAAATGCACCTAGAATCCAATCTCTACAAATACTCTTAGTTCTTGTAGTTATAGTATTATGAAGTAAGAAGCGAGATTAGAAAGAGTCAATCAAATAGAAGCTAATTCAATTATAAGGATTTTTTTGAGTTCAATGGTTTGTTTTGCCCAGATATCATTCATAATAGAATATTATGATTTTGTTTGATTATGTAGCTGATCCCAACTAGTGGGGGAAAACTATTGGTTGTTATTGTTGGATGTATACTTCAGATGTGTTGATTCTGGCTTTCCATGTGACTCTTCAGAATGATGAAGCTCATTAACCATGGATAATAATAGGCACATTTACTGTTAATTATTATGACACGAAGATTGTAGATTATAATAATCAGTTGTTTCCGGAAATTGCAAGTTTCTGCTTTCCGGAATCCCAGTCAGTCAGGTTGCTTAGACTAAACAAATTCCAATCAAATCTTATTTGAAAAAAGATGGGTAGCAGTGTAGGACCATTGCACATTCCCATTTTTCTTTTCTTATTTTACTCTTAATTTTTTGTCTTTAATGTGTTTTTTTTACGATGTCAATGCATCATTATACTTATTTACTTATGAATGATATATTGACAATATAAAAGACTTTTATAATGTAATGTATAGATTTTATAATTAGCACCAAACACAAGTAAGAGAGTACAAAAATAATAAAACATATTAATATGTCTAATTACACCTGCTTAAGCCAGGGTGCAGGTGAGGACAAAAATGTTCACTGTAATGAGCAGAACCCATCCAACATATTACATATATGTACACACAAGTCAAATCCAAAGACTTGTGTCAACCCTCATCTATGGCTACAAGAAATCTTTAGTAGTATACATCTTATTAGACCTTTAATATAACTTCTGTTGAACATGCAATACAATCCTGGGAAAAAAACAGTTGACATGGGTGATTGGTTGTTACTTGTTAGCTAGAGCTTCAGGTGGACCTATATGGTCATATATCCAATAACTTACCAAACCATCATCACCATTTTATACAACAACATGTAGTCCATTCAAACATGGACTAGTCACTCATTCAATATATATATATATATATATATATATTATATAACTATATTGAGTGAATATGATAACAGTCATTCATTCAATATATCTATTGAGTGAAAGTGGACTAGTCATTCATTCACTCAATATATTATCATACCTATAAATTTGTAAGAAAAATAAATAGAGCCTATTTCCATAGCTTCTCAAGGTGGGAATTCATTATCTGTGATACAGATTCAAGAAATTCAGATTCCCCATAGCCTGGTAGCAATGATTCCTTGGCTTCACATACAATCTCTTCAATTACAGATTCCTTGTTCAGATTTTCCCTACACATAATGCTTCCAATGTCATAGGGAGTGAGACCTCTCTCAACACCTCTCTTCAATAACATTGTGGAGATGCGTAATGTTCTGGCACACTCAAGTGGAACATCCCAACCATAATATTTCAGAAGTTCTAGATCTTCTTCAGC